AATCAAGGTTTTTCAAGTCAAGGAAAAGACCTGGGCTAGCCGTGCCTTAGTGACAAGAAGCCATTTTCCGGCAGTATAGCTTAAGTCGAGAAAAGCTATCTGTCAACAAAGACCTTTCGAGTTCGAGTTCGTTCAGCTCGAGGGCCTATCAACCACATGATGGAGTCAATGAACTACTTTCCAGTCGAATTTCCAATCAGAGTCTTTAAACCGAGGAAAAGACCGAGGCAGACTACAACGAGAAGCCACATCCCGATTCAAATCCCGAACTGCAGCTTCAATTCTATATCATTTCAAGGTGGACTCGACTTCACGACGAAGGAACCATCTGCAACCCAATCCGACAGGAAGTTATTCTTCAACTCCACCGAACGAAAATTTGTGTCTTTTTATCTTTGTCCTATTTTTCGTTCCACGAAAAAGGACAAAGAGGGGCAGCTGTAGACACTCATTTTCGCCCGGAGTTATTGTGTTTTTTATTACAGTTTGTAAAAATGTTTTTGACAAAATATAATATATAATTTTCAGAAAATGATTTTCGAAAATTTATATATTATATAGTTTTTGAAAATATTTTTTTAAATATATATAATATATAGTTTTGAAAACATTTTGGAAACGTTTATATATTATATAGTTTTTAAAACATTATATAATATATAGTTTTGAAAACATTTTGAAAACGTTTATATATTATATAATTTTTAAAACACTTTGAAAACATATATAGTATATAGTTTTAAAAACATTTTTTGTGAAATTATATAATATATAGTTTTAAAAACATTTTTGAAAACTTATATATATAATATTTTTAAAACGTTTTGAAAACTATGTAATATATAGTTTTCTAAAACGTATTTTTGAAATATATATATTATATAGTTTATATCATATTATTTATTTTATTTTATTTTATTAATTTAATTTAATTTCATATATTTTTTTCCTCCAGGTCCAAAAACAGGTCCAAATCCAGTCAGACGGGCCTGATCCAGCCCAGAGGTCAAATTAGGGTTCTAGTATATGTCACAGCGCCCCATAACAGGGAACCGTTGGATCAACAAAGAGATCAACGGCCAATATAACAAGGGAATCAGGGTTTGTTTAACCCACAAAGAGCTATCAGCCGCGGCCAATCTTGGACCGTTGGATCTGACCCAATCCAACGGTCAAGATCAAATCAAGGTTGCCAGAAGCCTGAACGCCACCACACACCGGTCACCGAGATTTCCGGCCGAGGGGATCGGGACTGACCCATCCCGAAATCCCCGGCCAACCAACCACGATCCCGAGATCGTCGGGACTCCCAACGACCGGCGTGGGTTATAAAAACCCACGGCCAACCATCACAGAGGGGGGGAAACCAAACACAAAGCCATCGAACGATCGAGAAACAAAACAGTGAAACCACACGTGAACGGTAAACCAAAGCCACACAGAGGAAAACCCATCAGCCAATAACAGAACCCACATACGGCCAACAAACGAAACCAAACAGTGAACCATCAGAATATCATCACAACCAAATAACCAAACACCCAACGAAAACAAAATATCGAAGGCAAACCAAACCACAATAGCCAAATACCAAACACACACACACGCAAAAATAGCAAAAACAGTACGCGTCAAGAGAACTTCAGGAAAAGCGAACGGTCGTCGGAGAAGGTAAAAAGTCGAGGCTATTTTCCTAGATCTACGTCGATCTATAGGGGTGTTGGTGATTTGGGCTACGGTTTTGGTTCTACGGAGACGAGAGGAGCGTCTTGAGGTTATTTAGATTTTTTCCGGCCACCGGAGTCGGTGGCCGGAGCGGCGGCGAACGGCGGAGTACATGGCCGTGATATGAGGCTTGGTTCAGAGAGAACCAACAGAGGATGTAGCGAGAGAACAGATTGTTCTCTCGTTGAGGAGAGAGAGAGGAAAATCAGAAATGGGAGATATGAAGGGGAGAAGAGTGTTTTCGTATATATATATAGCAGGGACCATTATGCAAATAGAAGATTCTTTAATTCTCTCCGCAGTCCCTGGTAGTTTAAATCGCATTTCAATCTGGCCATCACTTGTAATTTCGTCTCTGGTTTCTCAATTCATTCAAATTGGTCACCTTTTACACTTTTTTATATTTGTGAATTAACCCTCTAATTTTGTTTTTTTTACAGTTTGGTTTTAGTATCAATTTCAGTGCACAAGGTCCAATTTAATTCATTCTGATCCTTTTATTTATTTACCTTATTTGTTTTTTCTAACATTTTCTAATTTCAAACTTTAACCCTTTTTTTATCTATTTTTATTATTTTATTTTACTATTGTTATTTCTTTCCCATATTACACTTTTCACTTTTTCCTCTTATTTTATTTACTTTTAAAAGTTAACGTTTTTAATATTCGTTCTAATTATTATTTTAATATTATTTTTTATTTTTATTTTCCCTATCTCGTTTTCTTCACCTTTTATCTTTTTATTCTTTTATTTATTTTGACTTTAGTATTTTTTAAAAAATTCTTGCCATTTGATTTATATTCATTTATTTATTTATTATTTTATTCTTCCTAATTCATTACTTATTTGTTATTTTTTTTCCCTAACATCTTCGACTCATTGTTTTCAGAAATTCCAATTGATCAAAGGTAAGTGATTTGCATCGAGTTTTTAAATTTAAATTTAAATTTTAAATTTTCGCAACTAAGACAACCGACAAATTAATTGGTACCGAAAGGGCGGTTCAAGGGTGCTAACCCTTCCTTGACCGTAATCGACTCCCGAACCCGACACGTTTCTGGTACAACGCAGATCAGGTAAGATGGTGTCCGACCCACCTAAATTCATTTTAAAATGGTCGGTGGCGACTCTAATCCAATTAATCTAAGTCGAAGCCCAATTCCGGGGCCCAACCGAAAGACGGTTCCGACAGCCGTCACGGAAAAAATATGTCTTGTCATCGTCTCGTTAATAGATTAACGGCGGAGTGACAAAATTACAGTGAAACATAAACGTTTATGTTAAAAATAATAAAATTAAAACGTCAGTAATATTTTCCAATATAAACTTAAAGATGAGTGATATTTGATGTAGTTTACCCTTATTATTATTATTATTATTATTATTATTATTATTATTATTATTAGGGGCAGTCGATTCCATTTTATATTACTATAAACTAAGTGCGGTTGCCGTACGATATGGGTCCCACTATGGTGTTATAAAAAAGGTCGACCGTCTTAGCTTCCGCCGAATCCATTGCTGACGTGTTGTCTTGGTAGCCTGGACAGCAGAGAGATAGCAAATGAGCAACAATAGAGCATATAATGTAAAATAAAAGGTCTAATTGTGTCATTAGATATTATATTAGATTAGATTAGATTTATAAATTTAATATTTAAATTTTAATTTAATTAATTTAAATATTTTTTATCAATCAAACTGAAAACAAAAAACATAAATAAAGGTGGATAGTGTATCCCAACAATAATAGAATGGACAAGGTCGAAGAACAATAAAATATATCTTGGATTAATTTAAATTTTAAATAAAATTTAAACAATGTTATAATTAGAACGAGTGAAATACTCATTCTTCAAAATAATAAGAACACGCACGAGACAACTCGTTAAATAAATTTTGACCAAATACAACAATTTAATGTAAGCTATAAACTTTATTTTGACCAAATCACTATTTTTTTTAACTTTTTTTACGAGAAAATTGATATTTTATATTTTATACTGAAACATCAAGAACGAACAAAAAAAAATTCATCAAAAGATTGACATTAGGCATATGTGATGTCATATATGGAGGATGACGAGGAGGATGTCGATAGGGGATGACAAGAGAGCTTAAGATATCATAGCACAGGAGATTCGACTCGAGACCGACCAAGAGTTATTGCATCGATGAGGAGAGATCAGGAGGCGAGAAAACAAACAAAAATATGAAGAAAAAAAATCAAAAAATAAATAGGAGTAATAGATGATAGAGAGGCGACAAAGAAAGGATAAAAGAGAGGAGGCGATGGAAAAAAGTGTCAAATGAAAAGAAAAAAATTGAAGAGTTTTAAAACAAGAGAAAATAACCTCATTAACCAAAAATATCTTATAATATACGATTTTAATCAAATTTGTTTAGATTTACCAAAATGACCAACTAAATCGCAATGCGATCGATAATTCGCAACGCGATTTCCGGTATCGCAAATCAGTTTTCAGATTCGCAACGCGAACTTCGACTATCGTAATGCGAATTTGGATTATCGCAATGCGAACTTGGACTATCGCAATGCGAATATGTAAATCGCAATGCGATAGTCGGCTATCGCAATGCGAATATGTAAATCGCAATGCGATAGTCGCAATGCGAAGTTGGACTATCGCAATGCGAATATGTAAATCGCAATGCGAACTTGGACTATCGCATTGCGATTTACATATTCGCATTGCGATAGTCTAAAATCGTAATGATTGGTTGTATTGCATTTGTTTCTTAAAAATTTTATCTAAAAATAATTTTTTTTCTAAAAATTTTAATTTAAAAAATATATAAAATAATAAGAATGAAATAAGAAAATAAACATAATGAATATAAAAAAATATAATTATAATTTATGCATAACAATGTCATTTTTGACGATTATGATTTAATTGTACAATTTAACCAATATTTTTTTTATAACTATTGATATCTTATTAATCGATATCAAATTATGTATTATAGAAATGAGTATGACTCTTCTAACCTAATTTGCTCATACGATGATTTGAATCACTTACTTTTCTTAAAGAATTTAATGTCTCATCTAACTAAGTCAATTGATTGTGAATACAAATATTTTATATGGTAATAAAAGCACCTCTATTTTTATATTAAAATATATTCTAATATTAGCGTTAAGATTGGTTTGGAACTACTTTGAGTTGAAATTAAAATTAAAGGGTTGTGTAAATTCAATAAAATATAAAATTAGTTAAACGAAATCGTCCATTCCATTTCTTTTGGATAATTCTTAAAATACAATTAAGTAGAAACAACATTGAGAAAGCTTCCTCACGTTGCCAAAAATACATCTATAGAATTTATCTTCCTTTTATATACGTTACATGTCAGCTTTTAACATTCGAAAAGGAAGGAAAGCGAAAACGCAGAGAGCCGAAGTTAAAAACGACGTCCGGTAAAATAACAGAGAAATCAAAACATTTCAGCAGGCAACTGGTTAAGATCAAGATCGAACACTCTCGGTTGCACGCCTTGTTCAAAGTCAACAGCCGACGATGACGAATCGGTGTCGCTTTGTGCCCCTCCGGCATCGGAGATGATCTTACCGGCAGAAGTAAAGACATCAAAGATAAATGCCGGATTATTCTTCGTCAAGGGAAGCGAAGGAGATCCGCCGGCGAGTGTGAGGTCCAACGGTGGCGGAGAAGAGGACTCCACGGTGCTGATCTGGCTGGGGCTTCGGGCGATGTCTTTAACGGTACTATAGATGAAATTTGTCTTGGCCTTGGCGCCACGGAATTTCCGTGCCGCCGCGTCATAAGCACGCGCTGCCTCCTCGGCAGTGTCGAATGTACCGAGCCAGACTCGGGCCTTTGTTCTCGGGTCACGGATCTCAGATGCGTAACGGCCCCATGGACGCTTTCTCACACCGCGGAAATGGATCTCGTTGGTAGTCGTGTCGGGATTCGGGTTAACCGGTTTCAATTTCGGAGCCATGTCTTTTTTCTCTCCCTTGAGCAGTAATTAAGGAAACTGGATTGGTTTAAGGAAAGTGGAATAGAGCACGGGCTTATATAGTGGGAGGTAAGCTTCAAATGCACCGTTTCAGCACTAATGTGCGAGTTGATTCTTTGTTGCTTGAACAACTTTGTTTCAATCTCGGTAATCATTTTGCGCCATGTATCTCAAATTTATAAAAAGTTGTCAAATTTATTTTTTATTAGAATCATATTTTCATATAATTATTTATATTTCATTTATTAACCATTAATTTAAATTCAATACAATTATTTAATTTATTTCATTCATAAAATTATAATCTAAATTCTTAGTATCACTTAAAGATTATATAATTAATTTATCTACATCAATTGATAGTCGTTAAAATCATATTATTAGAAATTTTATATCAATTTTTATTAAGAAATAACTACTATTAATGATAATATTTAAGTTATGATATTTGTAGATAATTTACCATTTTAATTTGAGTGAAGACTCTATAGGATATAATAAAATTAAAAAGGTAAATGTCGTCTGATTTTAGAGATATGAGAGATAAATAAAATCTCTGTTTTTAGTCACATGTGATAGTTTACATACACACTCTTAATATTTATATAAGGTATAAAATCATAATAATTATTTATGATTGATAGTATAAATAGATTTGACTATCAATTAATTAAATTAAAAAATAAATTATTGGATCATGATATCATAATTAATTAAAGGATATAAAAAAAAAAATTGGAACTACAACCTAATATAACTTGCGAAGGGTCTACAAAAGAGATATAACAAATATAAAATTTTTGTTAATTATTAATATTAGTCATTATTATATATATTTAAAATAAATCATTAAATCCATCCTAATAAATACAATTAAAATGGGCTCTTCCTTCCAAACCGCGTTTTTTCATTTTAAACAACATGATAAAAATGCGGGGACCCACAAGCCGCTGAGAATCACACGTTGCACATGTGAAAAATTATATCTCGTTCCCGATGTTAATTGTTCGTTAATGTACAATCGCTCGCCCGGAATTGCACTCACTTTAGCCGGCGTAGTCTTTGACTACATACATTGTTACGGTGTCGCGTGATAATTTTAAATATAATAAAACAAATAATACGTCGATACCAATCATTCTCAATATTTGATATTAAATCATATCTTGTAGTTTAATATTATTATTTTTTATTTCGTGTCGTCTCTCCACATCCTAAACATTGATTTAATATATTATTAAATAAATAAAAGCTAAGTTGTAGCCGCCCTGCCGCAACAACGAAAAACAGGTGAACCAAGTGGACCACGTGTTGAGTAAACCGCAAAGAGTCAATGAAGGGCGGCGATGGGCGATGGCTAAAGGGATTTGGGCGTTGGTTTGTTAGATTACTGTCCGGATTAACGGAAAAGGTAGTGAGTGGTGACGGCGATAATCTATTTAATGGGTAAATAATTTATTCTTCTTCTATTTTATTCATTGAACTTTAAAGGTTTATAATTTACTCACTAAACTTAATATATTAAGTTTTTTTGTAATTTCATCGTTAAACAATAAACAAAGTTAAAACGATGTTGTTTTAAAAAAAACAAAACGACATCGTTTTGTATCTATAAAATAACTCATTTATAACGTCATTAATAAGAAAATGGCGGAGTGACAAAAAAATCCAATTCATTAAGTTCAATGAGAATTGAAAAGATTTAAATTACAATAAGTAAAATAGGAGATAAAGTAAAGTTCAATTATCAAATTTATAATTTACCCTTGGTTAATTTGTTTAATGTTTTTGGTCGGTGTTAGTACGTAGGGGAGCTGCTTGGGTCTCATTCACCCCAAGCCGTGTGGGACGGATCTCGTACTTTGAAACTCGCTTTGGAAGGTGATGTTGCCTTTCGTCAAATCTAACGGCTAGAAGGTGATGTCGCCTTATCATTGTTGTTGTGTATACCTTGAAAACTTTTAATAAAAGCACTAACGTTTTTTAATTTATCTTTTACGTTGTTGAAATTGGCATAGGATCTTCCTCGATCCAAGCGTATGAAAGTGATATTCTGCTAACATTTCCCTCTAAAACCAGAGGTGAGCTACTAGTTTTGGATCTATTTCGTCTCCAGTCATGGATAAGAATTGAATATGTTTGCTTCTGATGATTGGCAGATTCTTATCCAAGCTTGAAGGTTTCTCAGTGTGCCCAAATTCATCCTGGTTTTATCGTCAATCTGACGCGGACGTAGGAGATGAGATGTCTTAACAAATTCTGCGAGCAGAAGGAAACGAGGGATCACCAATGATGCAGATAAAATCATCATAACTCAAGCCAAACACATCCTCTACATCCGTAGAATCCTATATCTTCTTATGTCGCACATCTGTAATCAACGAACCAGTTCAATGATTCTGGTTGTGATTCTTTTGATCTCTGACTTGGTTTTATGGCTCACCCATCCCTCCTTCATGAAACAAGCCGATCTTTTGATGCTATTTGAAATATATCTGGTTATTGCACATAATGCCCTGATGGACTTCTATAACAACACAACACAACCTTATCAAACCATTCATTCAATTCTACTCCAACTTAAACCTTCCCATGGGAGGACAGTGCCCACAATCAACCGTCCTATTAACGAGGTTCATATTCATTACTATTTGGGATAAATATATTTCTATTAAATCAAGCTTTTTTATCAAGTAGAAAACTCATTAAATTTAAAAAAATGCTAAATGAGTAAGGAGGATAGAATAATTTAGAAACAACATCTAATTTTAGACAGAAGAATATCGAAATAGATATCAAACCAACTCAACACCCATACAAGATTCGAATCAAATCAAATTTCGGAAATAATGAGGTATCATAAACATCATGTTCGCAATACCGAAAAACTGAGATGAAACATAATATGATCCATCAATATAGCCTATCCAGTCGGATCTAATGAGTATGGCCTTCACCTGCTAGCTTCATACATAAAAATTGACGGACGTAAGCTAGATCGGAAAGTTTGTTAGTACATTAAGAAGCATAAGATCATAAGATCGTTGTTGACAAACAATAGATTCATAGTAAATATACGATAAAGAGTGATGAAAAGTAATGAAATTTTACAAAACTCTGATACTATGTAAAGAATATATATATCGACAAATATCATTGTTATAATAGATGATTATATATAAGTTTAGGAAACAGAATGCATTCTACTATACATAATCACATAGTGACCCAATTATACATAAGTTATAAAGTCTTAATTAGATAAGATATATAAGATACATTAATTAATGAAAATTACTCTTTGTTTCTAATACTCTACTTAAATTCAACCCAAAAATTAAACCTCTTGACCTGTACCCGACCCTAAATTAGGAGGACTCTATCCGATCTGATTTTGAGGATAAAAACCACACTCAACCCAATATATATAATTCTAATTCTTCCGGTTGTCATCCCCAGTTGAAATGATAGTTTATTTTTCTAAAAGAATGGTTGAAATGATAGTAACATTAATTATGGAGAAGGAATACTCACCGAGAAAGGAAATTCTGCTTCATATTGAAGAACGCCGATAGGAAGAAACACTGCCAATCATGCAGAATAAAGTTAGTAAACCTTTATGCAAAAATGGCGTTAATGAAAACCAGAACCAAAACTTTGTTGAAAACCCTAATGATAACCCTCATCTTCCTTTTACACTGCTAACGAAAACAACCAAATCCCAGCTTTTAGTGCTTTATCTTTTACCTGCATTTGCTTGCCCTTTTTCTCAAACCCTAAACCCCAAAACACAAAAAAAGGAAAAGAGGGTCAGAGCAAGCAGAAACTGACGATGCAAAAGCGAACTGAATTCACAATTATCTCTCCGAAGCTCTTTCACAAATTTGGAAACAATGGCGTGCTTTGCTGTTCTCTTGCAAATTAATCAGTGGTGCTTTGCGGAGGGGGGCTCCTTTGGAAGAACTGGCTTCGGAACTTGCCAGGAAAGTTAGTGTTTTGATTGCAATGCCAATTATTTCACCATTCACGTGCTCAATTCCAACTTTAATATAACCAAAAGATGCTGCTTAGCCTCTCAATCATGACCAGAGATTTTTCTTCCTTGCTTTGCTTTTTATTCCACCTGTCAAAATACCCAAGCGCCTTGCTTTAATGTTTCTGCATGAATCTGTACTATTTATATGTATTCATATCTCTGAAAATCATGGATAAGGCTTTCCAGACAATCAAGCTGGTAATTTCGTTTTTGTCACCTCTGTTTAGGATTACATGAATGTTGCGAATAACAAGTTACGTAATATATATATATATATATATATATATATATATATATATATATATATATATATATATTATTTGTATTTATTGTATTTTCTGCTTATCTTCTTCTTAGGTGGTGTCTCTCTTGTTATTTTTCTGCTTATCAAACTTTTCGAAAGAGAGGTGTCTCTATTGTTATTTTTTCGTTAATAAGGAAAAAATTATTTTGTTGATTAAAGTCTCTGAAAATTCATCTCTCTACTAGTCGCAATCATTTTAAATCACCTATGATAAACTCACATGATGTGTTAAAACTAAATCAACTATCAGATGATCATATCTAGTTATTTTATCAATCTGCAAATAATAATTATGCTTAAATATCTATATAAATTGTCACATAAAGATCTCCGCGGCCTGAATTAGAAAGATTGAACTACCTACTTTGATCACAACAACATTCTTCATTATCAACCATATTCATGTTCAATGTGAAGGAAACTGAATCTTAAAAATGGGAGATATTTGGAGGATAAGTGTGGTTATAAATCTCTTTTCTTCTGGAACATTTAATGTAAGAAAGAAAAAAGAACTTTATATAGTCATTTTGCTCTTTGGTGAAATAATGATTCATTCTCTTAGAAACCCCAAAATCCAAACATGAATCTTTTCCTGGAAAACTAAATTTAGACATTTGACAGGAAAAAGAAAAGGAAAAGAAGATTGACTGTTGTGATCTCAGCATATTTGAAACATACTTATCCGCAGTGGATAAGTCTCCATCATCTAAGCAGCAAAAACAAAGATTAATTAATAGTAATAAAACATTATCATACAGACGTGAAAAAGAAATCTTAGCTGACGTTAATCACCAGTCCTTTTCTAAGCTTAACCCTAATGACAACGTACTTGGATAATTTGAAGAAAAGGTTAAAAAATACACATTAAAGGAATATTCATGAACTGATAGTTGGTTTAGCAAGTCCACATGCAATCGAACCCAGATGAACCAGAGGATATCTTGGCACCAGCACCGGAAGCATTGTTGCCCTCCTCGGATACAGCGCCAAAGGTTAATGGGGAACCGCCTTGAAGTGGAAGTGCGGCCATTGTTGGCTGAGAGAATAAGAAAGAGAACTGCAAATTCTCATGAAGAGACCTCAAGCTTGGAAATACTGAAACACCGGCATCACGTGAATACCTTGGGAATGAATTGAAACAGTTGTTGATCATCTGCGGCGGAGGCGGCAACGCGAGGTCAAAAATGGGGTGGTAGAGAGGGGTGGTTGTGGAAGTGTCAGTGCCGGCTGCAGCAGCAATGGTGGAGAAACAGGACACGTGCTCAGATTGAGTATGGCTGTCAAAGGAGCAGCTGTCACGGTCGGTAAGGGAAACGGCGGTGGTGGGATCAAATAGTGGTGGAAGGGAAACTGAGGATGGAGAACTTGGTTCTTGACAGAGCGCAATGGAGGCTCTCATGCGGCACCTCGCTCCACTGCCATTGCTGCTGCCTGCACCATTGCCAGCACCACTCTTCTGAAAAACCCTCGATATAACCCAGTCATCCTGCCAAAAAAAACTTGCATCTTAAGTAAATAGCGAATGCAACAATGAATCAACTGATCAATCTACATTACATTTCATGGCTTAGTTACGTAAATGAGGAGAGAGAGGAGGAAGATGACCTTTGAGCTTCTGGAGTGATAATGGTATGCAAATTTGCCTTCAAGGCGATATTCATGCATAACCCAGTTGCTCTTTTCACCCTTAGGAGCTCTTCCCCTATAAAAAACAAGAGTTTTCTTCATTCCAACAAGTGCACACGTCTTCGAGCTATAAATCTCCCTATCTTTCCCAGTCGCCTTCCAATAACCAGCCTCAGTTGCTCGGTTCGTTCTCAACCCGGTTGGGTACTTTCTATCTCTTAAGCTAAAGAAATACCACTCTTTCTCCCCCATCTTCGCCTTCTCTGTCATATATATTCCATAACCAAATATTACATCAACAAATTTATATGTAAAATGTAAAAAAAGAGTTTGTGATTACATACCAGGAAGCTCCCAAGGCTCACATTTGTTAAGGTCAACTTCAGCTATAGCTCTACCAGTGAAGCTACTATCAACAACTTTCTTCAACAAATAATAAGTAATAAGCTCCTCGTCCGTCGGATGGAAACGAAAACCAGGAGGCAAATGAGTTTTAGCGTTGTCAAGATGATGGTAGCTATCCATACTCAAACCCCAAAACTCAAAAGGTTTGAAACCCTAAACTTCAAACAAGAAAGTGAAAGGAAAGGGAGGTGGAGGTGGAGGTGGAGGTGGGGCTGATATATCGGAGAAAAAAAGGGATAATGAGAAGATACAGGGGATAATCGGTAGCTGAGAAACTCTGTGTTGCTTTTCTTGCGGTGTCCTGTTTGGAATTGTTTTTCTTTTCTAGCCGTAGAGAGTGAGAAGGGGGTGGTTCTGCGGTGCGGCGCCTAAAAAAACGGCTAATATACGACGTGACCGGTTAAATAAGTGATCGGTTAAAATTTAGACCGGTTATGTTATATTATTTAACCGGAAATATTATAAAGTACAATAACATACTAGGTAGCGCTTATATAATGTAATAGGTAGCGCTTATATTTACCTATTTTATAAGTAAACCGGTATATTTATACCGATAGCATTGCAAATTTACCTATTACATTATATTATATTGAAAGTGTCCATACTTTTTATAAAAAGGATCGATACTTTAACAGTGTTTCATGTTTTCCACCTACAATATTAATTTAATAATTTCATTTGCACAAAAAATTATTTGATTGTTTTGATATTTTATAAAATAATATTTAGAATTTTTAATTTAATAATAATATATATCGTAACGTAAGAAATAAATCATTAGACGCCTATAATTACAAAATTAATATCTTAAAACTCACTCAAAGGATAACCTTAAGAACACTTGAAGAAGCAAGAGAACAACTATCCAAGCAATCAAAAAAGAGAAAATCCCAACATGATAACAACCGAACATATCATATCAATGTTCAAACTCAAGTTGTAGATTTTGATTTCCTTTTGCTTGGCATCATATGAGATTTAGATTTTGATTTCCTTTTGCTTGGCATCATATGAGATTTAGATTTTGATTTCCTTTTGCTTGGCACCATATGAGCTTTGGATTTTGATGAGCATCGGAAGTATTTCAGACTTATGATTTGGGTGGTACTCAACTTATGATTTTAGTTGCTATTTGTTACATTTCTTGTATACCACCCAGATCATACGCCCGAAACGTTTCTGACGCTTTAAAGTTGACCAAAAAATAAAATGGTCGGGATTTCCCTCGCGTTTATACGTTGGAAAAAAAACAATGGAAATTAGGAATAATCAATGATAACATGCATATTGGCTTGGGCTAATATTTATAGTGGAGCCGAAATATATATTGAAATTAAAACTCAAATTGAAATTTAAATTCAAACTCCAATTACATATAAAATGAATTTGAAATGCAGTGTTAAATTGAACATGAAAATTGCATAATTGATTCATACTGTTCAAGTAACATGCTTTATGAACCATCAAGCTAAAAGACAATATTGATTGAGTTCAAAGCTGAGTTGTGAGTTGATGGAGTTGTCACACTTGTCACATGGTTGGAATAAAGTACTCACATGCGAGATAGATTGTTTTGTTATACATAACCCATCTCAACGAAATTAATCCAAATAATGTACCCATAACAATGTTCAATTAATGTACCCACAACAATGTTTAATTGAACTATTCGCTGTGTAAAATGTGTAAAATGTCGACACTTTTTTAATTAATCCAAATAATGTACCCATTACAAAATTATCTATTACATTATAATTATGGGTTCCGATGTGTAAAATGTCGACACTTTTTTAAATCGTATCGACACATTTTTCTTCCAATATGGACATAAAGTACCGACACAATATTATAAAGTGTCGATATAGGTTGTAGACCTATTCGCTCATAAAACCGGTATATTTATACCGGTTATATTACAAAATTATCTATTACATTATAATTATGGGTTCCGATGTGTAAAATGTCGACACTTTTTTAAATCGTATCGACACATTTTTCTTCCAATATGGACATAAAGTACCGACACAATATTATAAAGTGTCGATATAGGTTGTAGACCTATTCGCTCATAAAACCGGTATATTTATACCGGTTATATTACAAAATTATCTATTACATTATATATTACAAAGTCATCTGCTCCACCAACAATTTTCCAACCCATTGACTCCATTTTTCCTTCATATATCAGTTTACGCAAATCAAATTATTTTGTTACATACACTTTTCAATATACAAATATAGATAACTACTCTTGTGGTAAAACGGTTTTCTTCAAAAGAATTTGAATGGCCACACCAAAATATGTCGGCACATTTATACAACCTATAATATTATTTTCTACCTATAATATTTAATAAAAGTATCGACATTTATATTTTTCCTTGAATATCTATTTCTACCTGCAATTGGTCCCAAATGCTTCCTTACTCCAAAACCCCAAACAACACATAAAAAACCCTATCGCGATTACTGTAATAATAAAAAATTAGGGTTTCGACAACATACTTTTCGATTCGACTGCAGCAACAAACAAACAAACTTCGCTTTAGAAACGCCTTCTGAAATGCAGCAACAATTACTCTTCGATTTCAAAAACTCGTCCGTTCTATCTTTTTTCAGAGGATATTTAGCTATGGCCTTTATATTTTCATCGGATATGTTATTTATATTTAATCGATACAAATACAAAAGTGTCGATACTTTTATGTCAGGTGTCGATACTTTCGAAAGGATAATTACCTATTTCTTTGAAAGTGTCGATAATTTATTACACGTACTTACAAAAGTATCGACACTTTCAATATATCCGGTATCATTTTACCGGTTTTATCATTTTGATACCGGTTTATCATATTTTTACCTGTTATATCGTTGTGGATCGATATATTTTTTTAAAGTATCGACACATTATAGGCGCTATAACTGCTTCTCTTTTAAATTCACAAAGTGTCGATCCTTATATAACGTATCGACACTTTTAAATTTACCGGTTTTATCATTTTGTTACCGGTTTTATCATATTTTTACCTGGTATATCGTTTTGGATCGATATATTTTTTTAAAGTATCGACACTTTTTAGGATTTAAAACTGCTTTTAAAGTTATGTAATTTATGTTTCAATTTATTTAATAGTGTTTCATGTTTTCCACCTACAATATTAATTTAATAATTTAATTTACACAAAATTTTATTTGATTGTTTTAATATTTTATAAAATATTATTTAGAATTTAAATTTAACAATATTAACCAAATATAATAATAAATATGTTTTCAACAGTGAAATAAGTATGGACACTTTTATAAAAATGATATATACTTTTTTGAAAGTTATGTAATTTATGTTTCAATTTTTTTAATAGTGTTTCATGTTTTCCACCTACAATATTAATTTAATAATTTCATTTACACAAAAAATTATTTGATTGTTTTGATATTTTATAAAATATTATTTAGATTTTAAATTTAACAATATTAACTAAAGATAATAATAAATATATTTTCACAGTGAAATAAGTATGGACACTTTTATAAAAAGGATAGATAATTTACAATATAACAGGTAAAAATATGACAAAACCGGTAAAATTTACTTGATATGTTAAACGTATGGACACTTTTATAAAAAAGATAGATACTTACCGATAACCAAAGTTTACCGGTTATCAAATTTTTTAATAGTTTTTCATATTTTCTACCTAAAACATTATTAGTTGTCAACATAATAGGTACCGCTAAACCGAATTTATTAAATACATTTTAATGTATCCGGTAATGCTGTATATTAGCCGTATATTAACCCGCCTCTCCTGAGACAATCCCGTGAGAAGGTGATGTATGGGGGATTAGAGTATGCGTGCGTGCGTGAGAAAGTGTGCAGGTATTCCCTGCCCTGTCGGTGTAAGAAAATTATGAAAGAAAAAAAGTGAATTTTCTCTTTTTTTTTTTAAGAGATGAGAAAAAGATTTAATGCAAAAATGTAATGAATCGAGAAAGTTGTTTCATATCTCTTGTTGTCAGAACAGTACAAAAGACTAAAATTGTCGACTTCATCAAGGTAATAGATTTAAGTAGAATAATGGTCATGTCTTCCTGTAGTATTAATTCGAAGGAGAATATGCGAACCCTTGAATGAAACCAAACATCTACCCAAATCCAAGTCTAATTCGATTAACAAAATTTAACCAATAGTAAATATATCTTTGATAAATTACTGATTTGGCCATAAAATTTTAAATATAACATCAAATAAATCCGACAAAAATTCTGTAATCTCTATCATCACTCAGCACTATCGTCAGGCATTGTGGGTCAACATTGGTCGTCGATGTCGACTACTTTTGGATCTTAAAATTATAGTCTAATTTTAAATGAAGTCAAGTGTTATTCGATAGATTTGTAGAGTTTAAGGTATTTTTTTTATGAAATAGCATCAAATAATCATGGGTAGGGATTTACGTGCTGAATTACCTTTGATTTCAGAATCTTCATGATTTTTATACTTTTCCATATCTATAAAAACTCGACGTTCGTGTTTTTTAGACTTCTCCAATTTCATGTTGAATCTTCGCAGATAAATATGATAGCGATTTTCAACAATTAAAAATCCCAAGAAAATTTCGCATCGAATCATATTTAATGTCTCAATTGTTCTTCGTGCACTATAACAAAATAGAATTTTAACGACGTTTTTTAGTCTTATAGCGGCGTTTTTAAACGTCGGTAAAAGCACTAACGGCGATAGCCAAAATATTGTAAGAAGCCCAAGTCATACCATCGTCGTTAATGTTAGCGGCGTTTGTGGAATAAAAACATCGTAAAAGGTCAGATCTATAGCGGTGTATTTGGATACAAACGCCGCTAATTACCATTCTTTAAATAAGATTAATTGATATTTTGTATATTTCATTTTTGCTCTACATCACCTAAATCTAATATCATGTAACTTTATATAAATAACAATAAACATAAATTTTAACAACAAAATAAATAAAATTTATAAACATTAAAATTAAATGTAATGTAGTTTGACATTGTTCTTTAGAATTTAGTCTAGGTTATTTTACTTTCAATTAAAAAAATATTATTCACTAGAATTTAGTCATCATTACTCTTTCGTGGGGAAATGA